GGTCCTAGTCATGCAGGCTGAGATAAGAATGTGTTGAATGTACAATGAAACAGAAATGATGACAATCATTGTAACTGTTGGGTGCATTTTTCTATCTCCCCTGCTCTGGGATAGAGAAAGGATTGCCCAATTACTTGGTTTCCTGGTTTTATCAGATTCTGGGTGCATTTCCCTGGTACTTTACATAATAGTTAGACAGTAGAAGCTGGCTCATAATCAGCTCAATATCAGAAGGCCCCAACCCATGACATTGCATGGCCTGGCCCTTTATTTCAGTTTTTGGCTCTCAAATCTCAGGGAATGGGATGCTGCTGACATGACTTGACAAACCATAACAGAAGATACAAGGCCCTTTCATACTACTACTACCTTAAAAAGTGGTGAAGTCTCCTTCTTTGAAGGTTTTTAAACAGAGGCTGATTGGCCATGTGTTGGGGATACTTTGATTCTGTGTTCCAGCATGGCAGGGGGTAGGACTGGATGGCCCTTGTGGTCTTTTCCAAGTCTGTGAATCTATGATTCTACACCATTATAGCACTATGATTTCACTTTAACTGCTATGGTTCTATCCTATGGAATCCTGGGATTTTCAGTTTAGAAAACAGTAGTATTTAGAATTCTCAGCCAAACTACATACCCTACTAAGAGGTATTGGCATCACAATACTGAAAGCTCTCCACTGAGTGTCATGTGTTTTTCCAGCTCAACTCAGGATGTTGGTTTTAACACTCAAACTCTAAATAACATAGGATGAGCTATCTAATAAGCTGGACCCTTTTTGAAGTCCATTAGCCGGACACACAGGATTCTCCTGAATCACTCTCACATTCTACAACTTTTTTCAATCTGGAGCTGCAATGTACCCACTCTTTTTGCATTCAGGAAAGGATCAAGCTTTGATTAAAATTAGACTTTTAACTTTTAGTACATGTAGAATCATAGAATCATAGAATCCTAGAACCACAAGGATCAGCCAGTCTAATCCCCTGCTTTGCAGGAAGACACATTCAAAGCACTCCTAACAGATGGCCATCCAGCCTCTGTTTAAAAACCTCCAAAGAAAGAGATTATACCACTTTATGAGGCAGTGTATTTCACTGTTGAGCAGATCTTACCATCAAGAAATTCTTCCTGATGATAAGGTGCAACCTCTTATTCTCTGGAGCTGCAGAAAACAAACTTGCTCCATCTTCAGCATGACTACCTTTCAAATACTTAACCAGCGCTATCATATCACCTCTTAACCTTCTCTTCCCCAAGCTAAACATTCCCAGATCCCTAAACTGCTCCTCATAGGGCATGGTTTCCAGACTTTTAATCATTTTGGTCACTCTCCTCTGGACACGCTCCAGTTTGTCAACATCCTTATTGAATTGTGCCTAGAACTGGACAGGGGAGCTCTGACCAAAGCAGAATAAAGTGGCACTATTATGTCCCTCACTCTAGTGTATCTTCTGTTGTTTTATTGTGTTGTAACATGATTATTGTTTTATTGCATTCCCCCCCTTACTTCATTTTATTTATTTATTTGCACATCACTTTGGTGAATTTCAGAATGACAGCATAGGAATATAATGAAAAATAAATTGTGTGAAAGAACTATACCCTGTCTCTGCATTTTTCATGGCAGCTAATAATGGGCTCTTACTCTTGTTTTATATGTTTGCTTATCTTTAAAAATGTATTTAGAAACAACAAAACCACAAGCAAGAGCAGCAAAAAAAGTCAAGGCATAATAAATTCAAACACAATGATCATGCCAAAGCCCTGCCAGAACAACAAGAACAAAAGTTTCTAATTAGCTTCCTATTTATTTGTGACATACTATTTATTTGTCCTGCTATCACGAGAAGCCATGAAAGGAGTTAATTTATCCTATTACATACTTATTTCATTACTTCTCTAGTCATAGACCTGTGACTGTGAAATGAGGAACAAAAGTGTTTATTTTACTGAATATACTTCTAGAAATCAATAGAATTCTGCTTGTAAGGCATCCAGGTTTTGCAGCTTGCAACTATACAGACTGTTGAAGAGCTAGTCTCTTTTTGGAAATTATTTATGCTTCCCAACTTGTGAACTGGATAAATATATTTGACTGATG